AAAACGATTTCAAAAAAGCCCCTTATTTAAGCGTGCAGGTGTAAATTGTATTATACATTTCATAAAAGAATATGATGTTGGGAATAAAAGGTGGAGAAAAAAAGTTTTTTTTCTAAAATACTTAAATAAAATTTAAATCAGAGTGCACGTACCTTCATCACATTTATTCCCACTGTATCCAGGTGCACATGTACTCTGACATGAACCGTTGATATGGTGACATTGTTTCCCGTTCAAACACTGACCACAACTCACATTACATCCTTCTCCGTAGAAGTTATTCAAACACTCTGAGGATTAAAAAACGTTTATCAATGCCAATGCTGAAATATTTTCTGTGTAGTTGTAAAATTACTACTGAAAATAATGCAAGGATATAATTTTTATTGCTATTTCCCTTACTATCTGAACAGAATTTCCCTTTCCAACCGGCTTGACAACCATTCTCACATATTCCATTCATTCTGTTGCATCCTTTACATGCATCACTACATTTTTGGACACAACCTTCCCCAAAGTATCCCTCACTGCATGCTTTAAGGTTGAGAAAATTATTTTTAGTTTATTTTATCATTTTTTTTTTTTCTTTTTTTTTACATCTGTACGCACAACTGAATAAGATCCATGTAATATATATGCAACAGAAATATATACATACTTTTATTACAGGTTTGTCCTTCATATCCGGCGATGCATCCATTTAGGCACATTCCATTTATAGGTTGACAATCCTCCTTTCGTTTACAAAACCCACATGTCTTGCTACAATTCTTGCCATAAAATCCATTAATGCACTCTGAAATATATGTCAAGAACGTCTCAAACAAAATCTTAATATACAAACTCTGAAGAAAAAAATAACAATATTTGTCAACTTAATAAAACAATCCCATGATAAATATACAATATAAATCAGTATGGTAAGGGGAAGATAAGAAAAGATTCAGTTTTGGTCGAAGGGATCCATCAAATCATCTTTAAAAATTGAGTCAAACATTCCTCTTTCGCAGGGGTGTAAAAGGAAGCATACAGAAAATTCTACCTTGACAAAGTCAGTGAAACATTATGACGTCATAGTAGACGAGATGACATCAAGTTTAGAAAAAAAGGTTTTCGTAATATTGGTATTTAGAGATGTAATCTAATTTAATTTAAAACGTGTAAAATTAACCAAAAATAAGATGTTTTTATTTTGTTATGCTGTATTTGTCCATTTGATTAAAATCTAATAACGATGACGTCATATATGTACATCGAGTTACTTGGTAATTGATCATGTCGGGTATTTAGATTATAACTAAGATGGCATATACAAGTACGTAAAATAGAGTTTAAAAGCAAATATGGGGAATATAATGTGAAATTCATATGGAGTTCAGTTAAATAAACAGGTATGTTCATTTATTTCCATCAATAATATTCTCCTTTGAAGACATTAAGCTAAATCCGTATCCCAGTCGACATTTCCTCGGTCATTCATGACAAAAATAATGCCATAGAACAACAATAAGCTAGATATTTCAAAACATAAGACTTGTACAGATGGAAAGATCGCCTTCTAAAAAACGTGGAAAAAGCTGCTAGAATCTCAATTTAAGCATGGTTTTACTAAAGTTCTCGGTTCATTTGTGGACAATACAAAACGTAGTGTAAGTTTCCGTGCGAATGCGTGTTATAATTATTTTACTGACAGGACAGTGGGATTCTAGCAGTACTTTTTAGGCAAAAAAGAAGGGTTTTTTTTTCGATTAATTTATTTACACAAAGAAGTTATTGTACTCCGGGGTATTGTTGTTCTGTTAGCTTTTTTTTTTATGAAGGAACATTTCCCTATTAATAGAAGTCACGTGAAGACGTAGAGGTGGCGAACGTCTTTTGCGTTTGACTCTCTTTTATCTTTATGCAATAGTTACGTTCAATTAACGTAGATCACTGATTATAGTAAATTATCAAACTTAATTTTATTTAAAAAGTCTAAATTTCCCGAGAAATGATTTATCTACTTCCTTAACATACCCGCGTTGTTGTATACGTATTTACAAAAAAGTCTTGGAAAGAATACATAATAATTAAAATTCAAGATGCAGTTCTAATTTTAATGACAAGGTTAAAATGTCGCACCTTCATTGCAGTAATCTCCTTTCCATCCTGGATGACATCCGATTTCGCATTTGCCATTAGTACTGTTACATCCATAACATGCATCGTTGCATGTAGCATGGCAGTTATGTCCAAAAGTTCCATCTTTACATGCTTTTAGGGATATAATAAGATATTAAAATGAATATCATCTAACATTTTTTATAAGAAAACTACCAGGAGAGAAACAACAAGAACTGAGGAAACATGATACAACAAAGTATTGTCTGGATTTGTACAAATGTTTAAAAATTGTTTTGTTGTAAAGAATGCGAATATCAAATTTTGTTCAAAATTTCGTTAAAAATCCACCATTCAATTATTTTTGTATCTCTTAGAATCACATATTTCAGAAATTTGAAATAATAAATGAAAATCACCTTCCATTTAATTCATTTTGCCTCAATGATTTGTTTTTATAGAAGGTGACATTAATTGTCCTGTGAATAATATTTCGTATTCATGGAAATCTTACTTTTATTACAAAATGCTCCTTCATAGCCTAAATCACAACCATTTAAACAAGTCCCATTATTTGGATGACACTGTTCAAAGTTCAAACAGTTTCCACAAATCATACCGCAATCATTTCCGTAGAATCCTCCGTTGCATTCTTGAAGGAAAAAAATAAAAATAAAAAAAATACACGATTTTGGATAGTCTTACATTTTAAAATTTGTATTTTAACTATCAAAATACAGACATTGGTTTCAAATATTATCTAGAACATTGAATGTTTTATGTAAGATGGGTGATCAAAAAGTTCGCGAACTAATTGAATTACTTCCCAAAAAAATTATATATTGTGTTTCAGTGTTGAAAATGTTTCAAAGTAGTCCTCTCCGATTTTAATGTGCATCTGCAACCAAAATTTGAAGCCCTTCACCAGCATACGGTGACGTCTCCATATGAGTGAAGAATTTTGGGGAGGGACGTTAAACAATATACAATCAATCAATCAATCCAATAAAAACGGTCTTATTGTCAGAAATGGCCACATCTTTGAAATAGTATGGGTGGATAATGATATCCTATTGCAGAAAGAGCATGGTGATCATCAAAACCCAAGTACTCTGTCTATTGAGCGTCGTTTATTTCATGTGGATAAAGTATGGGTGCCTTCACTTTATCATATCTGATATGTTTAAACTCTGAAGTAAATGATATTTTAGGGATTTGATATTTATATTACTGTAAAGATTTTCATCTATTTTTCCAACTGTAAGTTGGCGATCTTTTATATCAAACTGCACAACAAAGGATAGGTCTCTCTCAATGTTTGCTTTCAGAGGGCAACAGAGCAAACATCATTTCGAAACATCTCCCTTCCTTCACTCAAACAACCAATCCAATTAATGACAAAACTTCTGGCAAGTGTTTTGTCTTCATAAAGCGTATACAAATTATTATAAGCTTCTATAAAGGAATTTCCAAGATATACGTTTAACTTTACAGCCGTTCTTTTCTTGAATACCACCGAGTCAACCATTTTTTGTCACAAGTGATTTAGCTTATGATGTCTTTTGTACATTGTGACGTCACAAACACAGGCAAAAACGTTACATTACATATGCTAATTATAGAACATGCGTATGACTTTATGTTTGCCAAATTTCATTCTGATATGAATTGTGGTTTTGTAAATATAGAGATAGTTCGCGAACTTCTTGATCACCCCTCGTGCAAATGAAATCTGTATTAATTTTAATGTATTTTCTATTATCTATTCAGCCCATTATTATCAGAAAAAAATGGTTTTCTTTTAAGTTTTTCGTTGGAAAATCGTTCAAGTGCTCTACGCAGCACAGTTAATGTTGCAGTAAGGAGACGGGGCCTAATTTGTTTATTATGACGTCACACATAATACAAGGTCTTCAAAATACCACAAAATGAAATTATTTGCTATTGCAAACAGCTGGATAGCTGTATACTTTATACAAACTTACAATTACATGCATTTGTCGTTTGCTAAATCCCACCCAACAGTATATAAACGATGCATAAATCGCAATGCACTTGTCAATATTAATGTGACGTCATCTCGCAAAAATGACGCAGTTTGTACACAGCGAGAGGCTGATCTAGTCACATTTTGTACAATGAAAAATGTCTTTTGTTCTCAAATAAAATATTATTTGCATTTACATGGATGCGATATATATTTTAGTATTTTATTCATAAACTGTCCGTACATTCCTCAGACAAGTGATACTGTCGTGTGATTGTATGCAGATTCATTGAAAAAGTAATGGAAGGACCCCAATAAATCGATTCATTGCAAAGGCATACCGTCAATGTATCTTGTCAAGATTTTACACATAAAATCAAGAAGATATTTGAAAAGTGCTGCGAACCTCATCAAATTTTGCAAATAAATTAATTATAGCTATATTTAATGTAGTTGACGAGCAAAATATTCAATCCGCCGTCCAACAAATAAAATTTTAGCAATTAAAAAAGGGAACCTATATAGGTTCGCAGCACTTTTCACAAACTACATATAGTGTTGAAAAGGATCATAAATTTAATTAAGTATTTTAACTTGGTAATGCCCTTGCAATATTGAAATTTATAGATGACCTCTAAACTGCAAGTATAATTGCTAATATCATGTGACGTCGACATCACGTGACAAGTCTAGATAAAAAATCTAAATATCCTCAACATGTATATTTAAACCACATTACATTATTTTTATATCAGTGAAGTCCTAAAAAAATCGCCCATCCTAATAAAGTATGTATTTTTTTTATCTTAAAAAATTATCAATATTTCCATTCGCAACCTTAACTGTGCTGCGTAAGTGTCATAATCTAATTTTGATGTTTACCTTCATGACAGTACAATCCTTTCCAACCAGGAAGGCATCCATTTTCACAAACGCCATCTCTTCCATTACACCCCTTACATGTATCATTACACTTGTGTAAACAATTCGATCCAAAGTACCCCTCACTGCAAGCTTAATTTGCAAAGTAAAGACTGACTATGGTTAATTTGTCTGTGTAAATTTGTAATATAAAAATAGTTTTTGCGTGTTTTGCTATACATTGATAAGTATAAATTATATATGATTATACATAATGACATGTAATATTCACGTCATATAAATATGGCGCTACCTTTACACTAAAAGCACTTGATAGCACGGCGAGTTTTTTTCTCAACTCTAGCGTTCATACTTATGACATAAAATTTTTATACAATTAAAGCTTCTCTGAGAAAAAGATATTTAGCTGGTTAAAGTAATAGGGAATTACCATTTAATTAAATATTACATGAATTTAGAAAGTGTGTGAAAAATGCGGGATTGCGGAAAAACCAATACATGCATGTTTTAGTGTTAGAAACGGGAAATGGTGTAGTCCTCGCCATATAAAAGAAAAACCTAAAAAAATGCACCATCAATGAGCTTTGAAACTAAAATCCTTTGCCCAGTATTGGATCTTTATCTTGACAATGTCTGTCTGGGTTTTGGTACATGTATTTAAGGCTCTAGTCGAAGCAACCACATCTTATACATCAAGGTGGTCAGAGTTTGCCAAAGGAACATTTTCTATCTATTTTATATAAGTGTTTGCCTGGATTTGAACCCATTACTTTTGGTTATCCCTTTTTGGTGGGCTGTTCGTGGCATTCTTTCTACAGTTTGCATATACCTGGCTACATTATATATAACATTCAAAAACTGAATACTGTATACGAATTACAATTGACATTTGGCTGCGTATCCCTTTTAGTGGCTTTTGCGGATCGCAGCAACCGTTTTATCAAGTGCATGGCTAAATGTCATGAACGTATACACATAAATAAGGATATGAAGAAATGCGCCAAATCAAATCTACGCTAACTTATTCAAGAGTAAATTTCCTCAAAATATTGTACTCGCCAAACATAAAACATTTACAGTAATTACAGTATGCATCGTCCTGAAGTTTCCACAAAATCATCATGGAACCAATAATCATAACAGATATTAGTGTAATATTTATATAGAAATGACCATTAAATATAAACCTTCATTAATAATTATATTTTATCTTTTTAATAAGTGTTGTTGATATGCTTCAACCTCCAACATTTAAACTCATTTACATTTACTGTAAATGATTTTTAAAAACGTTCTTACAAAAAGTTAATTGTAAGATCTGGTAATACAGATTTTACCTAGGTGACAGAAATCTCCTTGCCAGCCAGGATGACAACCATTCTCACATATTCCGTTTGTCCTGTTACATCCTTTACATTTATCGCTGCATTTCTGAACACAATTTTCTCCAAAGTATCCATCACGGCATGCTGATTTTTTTGTTTTTTTTTTTTTAGAAAAAATGAAGATTGGAAAAGGCCATCTGATTGTTGAAATAAATGATCATATACATTTTTTTCATAAGTAAGCATTTCTGTTTTTATTTAACCATACTTTTATTGCAGAATTCTCCCTCATATCCCGCGGCACAACCAATCAAACACGTCCCATTTATGTTGTGACATTCGTTCGTCCGTTTACAATATCCACACCTAAAGCTACAACTTTCACCATGGAATCCACTATCACACTCTATAAATGTTTAAGATAATGTTTAAATCTGCAGTTTTTATTTATCGTGTTGATACCTGTGATGGTAATGGTTTACCGTAATGGTATTAAAAAGAACTTTTTTCAAGATATTTGTATCATGTAATATATTTAGTTTGCATATGAAAATTACTTTCGTTTTATCACCAAATTTCTTCAATCTTTCAATCTTTGATTTACTAATTTAATTACATTTTGAATAAAATACTGATTATCAATATTAAATAAAATGTTAAACAAGTTTTACAAATAATATTAAGCTTATTCCAGGTAGATCAAAAATAAGATATTATCTAGGTCGTTATTTTTTGAGAATAGAAAAATAAGAAATCAAACAAATGCTCAGAGATGCGTGTAGAACAATGACAGAATGTGTAATACGAACAAATCTGAGCATGTTGTTATATAAACCTAACACTTGCCTTGTTCACATTGGGAACCTTTGAAACCCGGCGTACAAAGGTTACAACTTCCTGAATTTATGTGACAGAAATCAATGCAATTATTTGGACATGGCTTTGAACAGTCCCGGCCATAGTGTCTTGGTGAAGAGCAACCTTAAATATGATAATCACACAGGTATGTTCTTATATTATTATGCCTCAATTCGATGAAGGGAGGACATATTGCTTTGTTGCTGTCTGTCGGTCGGTCAGCCTGTCGGTCCGTTTAGTTTCCGTTCATTTTCTTCGCAACCCTTGCACATGCTGAAATGAAATTTGGTATACTGTACAGATGTATCAGGTGAATATCCAGATTAAGTTTTATTTTGGGTACGATGGCACCGTTTTTGGCAGAGCTATGCTTCTTGGAATTAAAAAACACTAATTATTTGCAGTTTCTGTTCATGTTCCTCGCAAAGGTTGTGCATACTGAAATTAAATTTGGTATACATATTTATCAGCTAAATATCTAGGTCAAGTTTTGTTTTGGGCTTTGGGTACGATCGCACCATTTTTTCAGAGTTATTTTCTTTAAACTTAGAAAAAAAATAAATTATTTGCAGTTTACGTTCATTTCCTTTGTAGAGGTTTTAAATGTTGAAATATAATTTGGCATTCAGATTAATCAGCTGAAAAGATAGGTCAATTTCTGTTTTAGGTAAGATTGCGTCATTCTTGATTGAGTTATACCCCTTGAACTTGGAGAAATTCAAAGTTGGGGGAAGGGGCATTAGTGTTTTATACAAACATCTCTTGTTTAATTATTGTTTTAGCAATATTGCAAATAGATTACATGGCTATCATGTATTCAAAATAAGGGTAAAGTATCTTAGCGTGAACTAATCATCATGAATTTATCCAAATATATATTGTTTTTATTTTTATAAACAAAATAAATCGTGATGATATATTCAGAAATAAAACTCTGTGTTAGCATCTTACCGTAAACTTCCACTTCACAAAGTTCAGAATGTGCATTTACAGAAGGTTCGGTTCTGTTATCGTTCTTTATTGGCCTCTCATTATAGTAAATGACGTATTGTCCATGTACTGGACAGCTTATGTTAGCGACAGCTGGTATCGTGGCTCTTGTATAGTTTGTGTCGTGAAAACATAAGTAACCGTTTTCTATATTTGTTGTGTTTGATACGTAGAGATAAAAACCCATAAATCGGGCTGTGTAACCATTATTTTCATCTGCAAGATATTATTTGAACATTTTAATTGAAAATGGTATTTGTACACGTAGTACTTATACAAAGATAAAATATTTTATTAAGTTAAAGCACTCTAAGTGTTTCTAATTATTTATTTATTTACTGCAGTGAAACACATATAAAAGTGCATTTGTTCTTTTTAGAAGAATCTGACACAATAGCAAAGACATTTGCAAAAGTTCAATAAAAGAAATGACATTTTTATAATTAAATCCTACATCTCAATTCATGCATATTCGTTCCTTTTCATAGATATTAATGAACAGATCCCAGGATCATGAAACAGACTAAAACTTTTAATCGCCTTAAAAATGTTTATAACAAATTAACAAATATCTTATTTTGCAGATAAAATTTTTGTAAAGCAATATTGATAAATATTTATTTTTTTTTTTTGTCTTCTTGACAAAATCAAAATTCTAGGGTAACATGAGTATTTTGACTAAGCTTAAGATATATCATGATCCTTGGACCCAAACTATTAGTTGTATTTACCCCAAATAATGTCATCCGTCCTATAGTATATTATAACGTTACGTATGCTTCGTATTTCAGTGAGATTCACCCACCATGCTGCCTGTGTTTGCGCATTAGCTGATATACTGCATTGGTACCCAGTATGAGTAAAAATTGGTTTTCTGTCCATCAACAGCTTTTGAAGAACCAACGTTTGCTTCAAAGCTTGAGCTTTGCCAGGTTTGTCTGTTATATGCCATGTTTTCTTAATGGAAATGGAATAAAAAGCACTTAAAAATATGTCAGTTTCATACAACGGCGAACGATAGATGTAGGGAAAAATTAAATGTTGAAATCATGAATAAAAAGAGGTGTAAATATATAATAATTATCTTGATTTTTTTTTTTATTCATGGATATACTATATTTATTTTTACAATTAATACAATCATTTATAATAAATATATTTAACTGTTAAAATCGATTAGTGTATTTTTTTTACCTTCATTGCAAAGCAATCCTCCATATCCAGCAATACAGCCATATTCACACGTCCCGTTTATTGGACTGCATTTACTGGACGATTTACATTTACCACACGTTAGGAGACAATTTTCACCATGGAATCCAGCTGCACATTCTGAATTATGAAGTTTATATTTATTGAAAAATTCAAGAATTTCATTTTGGTGAAAGCTATTCATGCCGTTAGAATTTTTTCAATTTATCTCGACAAGGAAAACTAAAAAAAAATTAGAATGCTGACAAATATAGGAACTTTATAAACTAATTAAAGGCTTTCATATTCTTTTTCATTCTCCAAACATCAAAGTAAAATAAAATAGCATATTCGTCAAATAATTTATCCACCTGTGTTACAAAGCAATCCCTGAAAGCCAGCGGCACATCCTTCTGAACATGTCCCGTTTGTCGGATGGCATGTTTTATCATCTTTGCAATATCCACAAGTTTGGTTACAATTATCTCCATAATAGTCATTTTCACATACTTGAACAGAAAGATTATTGAAAACTCTAGTTATGATTGCATACATTAATACACTGAATTGATATTTTTAAAGAAAAATCCTGAGTTTAACCTTGACTTTATCTAAGAGTTTTTTTTAAACTAGTTTTTTAAAACTAGTTTGCCATTATTCACACACTGAATAGTCAACGAATATTCCATCTGTTCCCTGATCATTTTTATCATGATAATTTGAAATTTGCGGCCTGCCAAAAGATAAATTCTGTAGTGCCACAGATAAAACATCAGTGCCACAGTCCCACCACAAATATTAGCGCCATAATAAGATTCTTGTTGTTAGAAAGATATAAATAAGTAAATTTATAGATAAAATGAACCTAAATATTAAATACCTATTTCAGTTTCTATTGTTTAAGTGTTGATTTACTGTAATTTGGGCCCATTGTTTGGTTTACACAATCAATTATCTTATAGATCTCATTGAACTCCTGGAGAAAAAAAGGACTACTTTTTTTTCCCTTCAAGATAATAAAGAATAAAAAAAAATAAATATCAATTAATTCATGTTTTAAAGTAGAATTATGTCTGAAAAGTGTTTGTTACAATATTTTCAAGCTTTTCGAAATAATGAATTGGTTTTCAAAGAATGTATATTAAATATTGTAATTGTTTTCATTTACAAAAATCATATTATGGAAAAAAAAATTGTTGACATCTTCGATTTAAACACACATGAATAATTAACAGATGATTATGAAAAGAAACGTATATCATTTCATGATAAATGTACACATTAAAAAATTTACACACAATTTACAATATATCTTTGACACAGACACAATTTATCAAGATATTGAACTTTGAAGTTTGCAACTGAAGTTTTCTTAGTATATCAAATTAATTGCAAGCCATTCACATTACCATAATAAGTTAAGGAATGTCATTATATGAGATAGCTTTGATTTGTACTCGTAAGTTCAAGATAGTAGATTCATTTGCCTACAGGTTTCTCTAATTTAAGAAGTATATAAAGTTGAGATTTAAAACCAGAAATATATATATTAATTGCATGTATATAGATATTAACGAACATGCATTCATTATTAATATCAGCAGGGTGAGGGAGAAGGGGTAAAAACTAAAATGAACTTCTATTTTAGGGGAAATAACATCAAGTGTGAATTTTCCACACAGCAATTACATTACTAAACTGTCAATAACATCAAGACCGAGATATTTCAATATTCTTATGGAGAGATACATATAAATAACACTGTTGTTATTACTGTAATACTCTACATATATGTGTAACAATCATTAACTCATGATAGGTTTTTTGTAATGTTTATGATATTTGCTTATGTCCCTCTACTGGATATCTATGTTTTTACCTTTAACGAACGTCATTTTTAAATGTGCAGGTATTGGTCAGTTAAGACCTATTGTATAAAGAGTATCTAAATTATTGCATTGCTGACCACGCAGACAGGGGAAAACATTTTCATAATTTTTAACATGATTAAGGTACTAAAGTTCAAGATGTATTGGTAGATATATTTAACAATTGTAGCATTCACCATAAGGAGGAAGTTCTTTTTTATATGTTTTTTAGATACTAATTCTAAGGCTAAATGATTGTAAATTATGTTTTAGTTACTGTTTATTTAAACTATTATTGTCCTCGCAAGCCAAAGGACCTGAGTCAAGACGCTTTCGTTGGTTCAACGTGTTGACTCAGTACACGTGGCTTGCAAGGAGTATCATCATGGGGTTATTGAATCAAATACAAGTGGCACAAGTCTCAAAACTGCTAATTTAGAATTTTAATAGGACGCGTAACATGTTGATATCGTATATCTTTTTCATGGATCTTTGTAATGATATTTGAAAATGCGATGTTCTATCAAAATTGAATTTAAAAATCGATGTGTCATTTGCAACTGTAAAGATTAATGTTTTCAAACAATATTTACTAAAGCCATTTTTTCTTAACTTGTTCTTACTAGTAATAAGTTATTCTAAGCATTATTATTTATATCCGGAAACTCAATGCGCTTTGTTTCCATGTCTTATGCACGTTCATCTTGGGAAGCAGTTCATGTAAACAACTTTTTTTTTTATAAAATCATAAATTAATGAATATGTAAGGAGAAAGAACGCCTCATTCTCCATGTTCACATTCTAACACAACCAACATTTAGTGTGAGTATAACATAATTTTTTTCCATTATGATCATATGTTTAACAAAAAGGAATGGTCTTCGATTATATTTTTTAAAATTTTGCTTCAGTATTAAAAAAAACATTACAAATATGAAATTAAATGTTGTTATTTTTATTTGAGACGCTCTGGAAATATACACAAAACATAGTTAAAGAGTGGAAAAAAATATTTAAATTAAAAGTACTGTGAGCAATGAGCTCAGTAGTGATACCCCTGTCTCCCATATAAATATTTGCTCTGGGGAACACGAAATGAGTGTGAGATCTTAAAGTATAATAAGAGGGGCACAATTGCATTATGTAATTAGGAATATGTCATTGCATTTTATTCATTAATATGTGTCCGATCAAAATGTAATGTAGAAGATGCACAATGACAATTTGTAGCAAAGATTCTGTATGTGGAAGTCTCATTTAATTTCAATCAGCGGTATAAGCGGAGTTGTGGATTAGAAATGGGTAACTCAAAATGTACCAGAAGGATGGACATTCTTATCTCTTTATAACCTCCCACTTTTTGATTGTATAATTTAATGAGATCAACATGTCAATTTAATCCCAATTTAGCTTAAGTGAGCATTTTGGCTAATAGATCTCTTTACTTATTTTTAAATTTGCCACCTAAAAATGTCAACTTTAATTCACAAGGGAATATTTTTACGGGGGTTATTTTTCTTTACGTTGTTTGCAGATTTTTAGGGTAATGAAATATTTTCTACGGGCAAATGGGTTATTTTTCGAGGTCGAATAATGACCGGGGGTCATTTTTCGCCGTAGAATAATGACCGGTAGTCCCCCTCAAAAAATGACACTCGGTCATCAATTGTTTGGGGTCATTATTCGTCTTTACACCGGTATTGTTTGGATGATGAGCCATAAGTGAAATTGTAGTCAATGTTTACTACTGATTTTTTACTGTTTAAACTTAACCTGTATCAATGTTTACTACTGATTTTTTACTGTTTAAACTTAACCTGTATCTCAAAATTATTGCTTAATTTAAATGTTCCTGTTGTAATCCTAATATAATCTAATCATGTGCTTGTTGGCAACATCCTTAATCATACCGAAATATTAATAGACTGTACCCACTAAAAGCTAATATGCGAGAGTTGTGAAACGGGGAGTATTTGTATTGACATTGTTGTGAACCAGCGCCAGGATTTTAAGGACTAAGAGAGACATTAAGTTCTATTTGTTGTAAATAATTACAGTCGTTTGCCAGTTCTGAATTTTCACGAGTTCCGAATAATTATTTACTCAAGAGCTGATCAAAAGTGTAAAGTAACATTTTAGTGATACCTACGGTATGAAAGCTTATTTATCAGTGTTTGAATTATGTGAAGTTCTGATTTCTTCCTTTCATTTTGTGTTCATTACTTCTCAGTCATGACAAGGAGGACACAGTGGGTGTGACCAGTCGGAGGGGTTGCTCACTCCTCCATGGAGTCTGATCCCACCTGATGTTTTGGAGGTACATGTTAGCTATTTTGTATTTTTTATGGACCTTGATATCGAATAATGTTCGTCATCTCCATCACATGCATTGATTTATATTCCAAGTTGCGGCTAAATATTTTTCTTTGTTAAAATGGAATCAATTTTAGAAGAGAGATAGTCCTTATTGAAAACGAGAAAAACGATAACGATGTAGAACGTTACATAGCAACAGATAACCATTCATTTTATGTTATATTCGGGGAAAATCCTAAATAACGTCTAAAAACGTTAAAGGAATCCAAAAAATGTGTCACAAGTACACCGTACATGTATGGAAATGGTGGAGGCGGTATTCGATTGGCAGATATTCTGTATCGGAAGAGAACAATCCGTAAAGAAATGGTTTATCTGATCAAATCTAAAAAAAAAATGGAATGTTATTATAAGAATGGAAGGCCTTCAGAGTTGCTTATCCCGTCAAACCACAGTTGAGTGGTAAAAGAAATGAAAACATTGACAACAAGAACAACTGTTAGAAAAATAGATGTTATCTGATAGGTAAAGGTTTTTAATGAGTGGTTTTATGGCTATACAGTGCTTAACGTGCAGGGATAGTATTTTTTGAGAAATTCTCACCGCAATATTTTGACACTATATTACCCTTACGTGTGCCACGCGGTTACAAAACATATTGATCTTGAAATAAATTAAAATGATTTAAATCAAATCGAATGGAAGGAATCTTTATAAATCAGCAAATAATTATTTGTACACATGATGTTAAGCTCATTTAATATTTTTGAAAGTGGTATAAAGAATATTGACATCATCCACGAACTTTTCGAACAATCGTCGTATTTATAGCCGAATCAGTTAACGTTGTAATTCGGAACTAGTCTCACAACTGTACCATTGTACAAATTGTAAATATTGATTTTGTTTATAGATACAAATTCTAAAAAAAAAACAAAAAAAAAAAAAAAAAAAAAAAAAAAAAAAACCTATGTGACTGAAAAAAAACCCACGGCGGCCGTCTTGACAGTATGGCCCGGCTTTCAATAGGAGTGGATTATTGCTAACACAAGTTGTCTGACATTAATTCATGGGGGCGCTGTTGTTAGAAAATATCCTTTTGGAAAATGTTACTGACATGTAATGTACATTTATTAACGGATTTCCAGGAACATCGGGATTTTCGTTCCATGCAGGTGTCAATTGTGAATTTACCAGTTCTAAAATTCATGGTTTAATACGATTAAATTGATTGATTTTATGTTGTTTAACGTCCCACTCGAGAATTTTCCACTCAAATTGAGATTCCATCATTTGCCGGTGGAGAGCTAAAAATGTTGCCTTATACTTGGCACTCAGGGCCATTTAGCAGAGACGGATCTTTTTTGGTGTCAACACCTACCGCAACAGGGGATATCAGTTTATAAGGCATCATCCGATTCCCACGTCCCATAGTGGGATTCGAACCCACACGTATGGAATTACCTCTTAACTTCGCATTATTTCTTAAGTACACGCTCTAACCACTGCGTCACGCCAATTCTTTGTTACGCGTAATGCTAGCGACTAATAAATAAAAAGTTTAATTAAAATTTAATTGAAATTCAAAATACGTAGATACAGGCAACGAACAGTATTCAAGCAGAGCAAAAACGAACCTCCAAAACATTAGAGATAGGACAGTGTCACGGAGGAGTGTCCTACTGTGGACGGGTCTCATCCTCCGGATGTACATGTATATCCCTTTTCATGATCGAAAAATAACGGTAAAATCCGTTGACAATTCAGTGTCTATATAATGGTTTGACAATTAGTATGAAAAATCAGTCAGTGTTTGACATAGTGATAAATTATATTTGTTCATATGACATTGTATTCAGGGGAATTTCAAAAGTTCTGACAAATGTTTAATAAGAGATTAACCGTTTTACGGAAATTAATGAGTTTGATATATTTGGAATGATTAGAAAAATAAACACATATTGTGATGTCACGTTTATTTTTTTATGACGAAATAACTCCGAAAATGACGCAGAAAAAATCACGTTTTCATACACATGAGGCGATCGTAAAAGTGGTATCATAGGCTTATTTGAAAAAAAAAGATATTTCAAAGAAATTTTAATTTGCATAGAGATAGACTATGGCACTGTTTATTAGCAATTCCATATTTCATTGTATGGGTTGTTTACTAGCACGGTTTATGACCGGTTATGCTATCATCGACATTTATTTAAGATTTTTATTTACATGATACCGCTTGATTTTCGGTCTTTCATATATATCTCATTTGTATGAAATAAAACATGTTCTATATAAAACTATATATATATAAGTATATTAATGCAGTTTTCAACAAATATATTTTGAGTAACAGGAGTCTTATCATTTAAAAACGAAATGTACAAAAAGATTGCCCTGACTTGTTTCTTTGCGTATTTTTTTCATATTACTTCAGCTTCGGCGCTCAAAAGTCATTACTGCTCTTGACTTTGAGTTTAAAAAAGGATTATAAGTTACACAGACATGAAAAATTTCATTTGTTTACCATGCCTTTAAATTTGCGAATATGTGGAGGTAAGGTGGAGTTACACATGCGCCGGCGCCATTCTGGATTTTACGAGAAAATATAGGGCACACTAAACTTAACTTCTCTTGAGCCTTCATCGATCCCACAAATCTGGTTAAAAGACATGACGAAATAATGCCTTTAAATATTGTAACACGATCGTCCATTTTTTTTTATTGTCCACTTTTTCTTTTTCTCACAGTTAGTTTAAACCATTTTAGAACATAAATCTCAGAAATAGAACACCTTATCATAGATGGTTGTCTAAGTAAACATTCCACCAACTGGCATTTGCGTCCGTTAGCTTGCGTCCGTGTAATGAGCAAAAGTTGTCTAAAAATTTAATTTGATCAAATTATGTCTTTTATTACGTCATTTTTATGTTCTGTTTGCTAAACATGCGGAAGTCTGACATCATTTTTGAAGTTATTATGTCATAAAAATTATAACGTGACGTCACAATATGTGTATATTTTTCTGATCTTTCCAATGATATCAAACTCAATAATTTCAGTGAAACGGTTATTTTTTTTATATACAGTCCCTGAAACGTTCTACCTTTCCACCTGAATGGTGAAAGAACGCTGAACAAACGGTGAACGAACGGTGAACGAACGCAGAGCGAACGGTGAGTGAACGATGTGCGAACAGTGAACGCAACTTGGTGAACGATGTGTGAATGGTGAACGGTGAGTGAACGCAGAACGCGAACGGAGCGCGAACGCGAGCGCAAAGTGAACGGTGAACGAACGGTGAACGCAAGATGAACGATTTATTCGGAATGCCTTCGGTCTTTTCCATGTATTGAAATTATTCTTTTATTCTATAATTCAAATGTCAAAAATAAATATAAATACACAATAGTTAAACAAAAGAGACATAAATAGATAAATAAATAAATAAATAAATAAATAAATAATAAAAGAATTCTACACATATTTATGTTAAATCGATATTTTAATAACATGATTTTAATCGCCGTCAAACGTGTATTTGTTACCGCGTGTAGTTAAAAAATAAATTAAGCTACTTAAATAATTATGCTTATTCTTTTCACTACTAAAATAATGTGGACTTCTGAAGATAAAACTACTACTTATAGAATGAATTAATTACATTGTACGGGGTTGAAACAACCGTACATGTATTTCCGTGCCAAAGCGATTCTGAGTAAAATAACGGATTTTTTTTAAAATTCACAATTATCTGTTGACTTGACTGTTATCGTACTGCATAAAAATTCTCGTTTTATTTAAATTTTACTGCAAAATATTCTATATTTATGTGCCTTTTTATTCTTTTATGACGATTATTTTAGCTAACTTCTTCATGTATCTGTAGACATTTCCCGGCCGTGATTATACTCGGTCAAGATGTTGGAAAGAGGCATTCAAATTATTTGTAATACATGTGTAGATTAAAGTTTTAAAACTAAATAAGTAACGTGTTGTCATAGTTTTTATTGAACAGAGAAATGTACGAGAGAGAGAGAGTAAGAGAGAGAGATAACCCCCTCGATTCTCAGATATATGTTGTATCAAATAAAAATTCTAATTATTTTTCCTAAATATTCCAAGCAATAAAGGTAATCTTTTTTTTAGATTAACAAATCCATTTGACAGTAATCATTGGCTTTTATTTTCCATCATCAAGTTCACACAGTTCACAGGAAGTCCGTGCTACATTTGTAGTAGCGTGCTTGTGCTGTCAATCAAAATAATTCGACACAGTGGAGGTGTGGAAATCGCGTTTCACCGAACATGCCAAAGGCAAAGAGTCTCTTAGTATTCCAAGAAATGTTCATGTTTTTCCCTATCATTTTTAGATCTGATTTTTGCATTCCTGCAGAAAAAAAATAATTCGAATATATACTTGGAAGGATTAATTTAAAATTGAATGTGAAACATATTCCCTGCCAATTTAAAATACTACTGTCGGCACAAGTTTATACTATAATACTATTGTTTAATGACTGTTTGATGTTGGTTTTTTAGACTTATTTTCTTGTGTTACAATACAAATTAAATATTAATTAAAATATACTGAAAAAAAACTCAGTAAGAATTTTATTTCGGAAGAAAAGGCACGGGGGGGGGGGGGGGGGGGGTCTTAATTATACTGAATAGCAAAAAAAAAACAAAAAAAAACATATTTTTAAACATATGTTTAGGTACGGTGAAGGAAGCAACCCTCCTTCTCTAATAATAGACTATTTTAAACGGTTGGTCTTTTCTAAAATTTAAAACCACACCATCAATTTAATTAGCTCTAAAGATATTTAATTAACTGGATATTTGCAGCACCGTTCATCATTCTCAAACCTACAGGTAGTTTAAATACGTGTACAATTTTTTTTTTTTATGTATTCTTGTCCTATAAAGACTTGGATTAATTATTATACATCCATTAATAATTTGTCCTCTTTAAAATTACATCAAATTGATAACAAAGATAATTTTTGCAATGAAATAATTATTCTTCAAACACGATATCTAATTTATTTAATAAAAAAATATGTAAATCCTTACCATCAAAAAGATAAGTCCTTTCACTTCGGAGTTCCGAATGACAATGAAGACTGAACGATAAGTGAACGGTGAACGCAAAGTAAACGGAACGAAGATCGAACGGTGAACGTGTTGTGAACGGTGAACGCGAGCGCACGGTGAAAGGTGAACGCAATACTGTGAACGAAGAGCGAACGGTGAACGCACGCTGAACGAACGGTGAACGAACGCCGAACGAACGGTGAACGAACGGTGAGCGAACGGAAAAATGGGAAAGTAGAACGTTTCAGGGACTGTATCAGTTGCCAGAACTTTTGAAATGCCCCTCGTATCGGCCAAAGGACTTATGAAATGATGAATCTAAAGGAAACTGATGATATTCTTGTATCATCAACTTGATTGTCACTAACGAACATGTCTTATTTAGACTTCCTACCTTGGTCACAGCGGTCCCCTCTGTAACCAGGGAAACATTGTAGACAATTTCCCGATTCTATGTTACAGTACTCCTTGCAGTTTGTTGGACAGACCTCTGAGCAATCAGATCCGTAACGCCTTGGACTTGAACAGCCTAATTATAAATAAAAATAAATTAATTGAAATAAATGCATTAAAAAAGCAAATAAAAAGATTAATGAATAAAACAATCCTTTAATATAACCTATCCCCTTTTTTATACTATTTTCTTTAAAGTCAATATGTTTCACCCACCGTAAACCTCGACCTCAGAAAGTTCAATAAAGGCATATGTAGAGGGTCCTGTCGTGTAACTGTCTCTCACTGGTCTCTCGTTATAGTAAATCACGTATTGTCCATGAAAGGGACAGGTTATGTTTGCGACAGCTGGTATTGTTCCTCTAGTGTAGTTTCTGTCATGAAAACACAAGTGACCATCTTCCTTGTTTGTTGTGTTTGAAATGTACACGTAGAATCCCATAAATCTGCCAGTGTATTGATTTGATGGTACTAGAAATATGAATGCTGGCTTTTAATCTAAATATGATCGCTCGGTTCACCGCTCCCATATATGCATGTGTATTTAACAATTAATAATTAATAAATTTTTCCGTAATATACAAATTCATTAAATTTTCTAATTCAATATTCAATATCATCCATCGAATTAAAGGTAAAATGTGGAACTCGATATCCTTTTGTATATGTCTCTCTTTCTGAGTTTTTGTTAAGCGCTCTCCTCTCTCTCTCTTCATGACTTTAGTACTCATTTTTCAAATCGATATATAGGCAACAAAATTTGCAAATGCACAGAATTTAAAGTTGACGGCTACAAAATGTCCTAGGCTTGACTACATTTTATTATTTATAAGTCAAGAGAAAAAAAAACACTTATTTTGGTACAAATTGTTGTTAGCGACAGCCTGAGCCGATGAATGACTATATGTCCCGTAAGTATCGACAATGGCCAAATCGTACCAAAAGCGGCCGGACCATGAGAGCAAACCCGGTTGCGCCCCGGCTTCATTTTCTGTTAGGTTGTATCCTGTCGGTATTGTGTTGTCGCTAGCAAATATGTACATGTACAAAACAACAATATGGACACACCCTCGAATTTTTAAAGGAAAATCAGGGACCTTGTGAAGACACGTTGGCACTGTTGCCTAAGAGAAAACTATCAATAAATTGCACCCATATTTAGCGATTTATAGAGAAGATTACGGTATATGTATCAAGCACGTACAATGATATTTAGTATAATGTTTGTAAGAATCTTTGGAAAAAAAAATAACTTTATTCGTAATTTAATTGATGAAATAGGACATTGCGGAATATGAAAACAAAAATTATTCTTAATTATTCTTAATTCTACCCCACGTCTTTAAGCTGTGTCAAATTAGTATTGAAAAGAAAACATGTTCGACTATGTATCAGTTGTTTATTTATTTTTTTTTTAATTTTTACTTTAAATGTCATTGTCTCATACAAGAAAGACAATATTATAAAAAAAATATTTTTTAACACCATTCAATTGATGTTGTACACTGTAAAAGAAACTATTAATTAATACAGATTGGGTACGTGAATAGAAAAATTGACACGGTGTTTTAGAGTATTTTACAACACTTTTAGACGTCATTAAGAATACTGCTATGAAAAGATACATCGAAAAAACTTAGTTATTATCATATTTCTATTTGTTTAAACATACACTTAAACATTTTTAACGCAACACAGGAGTAATAAGGAAGCATACAAATTTTCTACCTTGACTAAATCAGAGCTGCATTATGACATCATAGAAGACAAGGTGATGTCATTTTTAGAAGACAAGTTTTCGTAAAATTGGCATTTAGAGATGTAGTCTAGCGTTAGATAATGAATAGAAACGTGTAAACATTAACAAATAATTTAATTTTGCTTGTATTCTTGGTATGGGGACACACCCCCTTGACAACCAGCATAATCATCTGTATCCATCAATCCCCTCATTTCCAGTCCTTGGGATTCATG